CAATCTCCTATTGATATCAATACAAAATCCGTGTCAATCAATACATCACTATTTATAGACATCAAGCATTATGAATTTGAATTTCACAACTTTAAAATCAATAACAATGGACACACAGGTTGCTTGTTGAAAAATAATGATTTCAGAATATTCATATAATAAATAAACACAACATACATACAATTGCAGCCCAGTTAGTACTAGACTATTCCGGGGATGAGACAAAACCTCAACCCTTCATAACAGGTCTGGCCCTCAACAATGAGGTCTATTTGATGGCTCAGTTGCACTTCCACTGGAGTGACCACAAGGGCAGGGGTTCTGAACATGCATTCAATGGTCGCACCTATTCGATGGAGGTATGCATATAAATGTCAAATAATTTATTTTTAAAATTTCATTAACACATCAGAGGATGTGTTAAAATTATTATATAATTACAATTATATTTAAGAAATTATTTAATGATATCTTAGATGCACATTGTTCACTTTAATAAAAAATACGATAATATAAGTGAATCGATGCACCATAAGGACGGTCTGGCAGTCATTGGTGTGATGTTTGAGGTATGAGAATATAATTTATCTTATAAAATGATAATTTTACTTACCGTATGAAAAATAATCCCATTCAATAACAAATCTATAAATAACTTAATTTTATACAGAATCATTTGTTTGGTATCTAATAGTAAATTTTATTAAGCTATAAAAAAATATTTTTTAAATCTGTATTCGTAGCAATCGATTAAGTACTTTATTAGAAGTAATATATAGGATAAGTGTCTGATTTAAATCATTTAAAATGTATTGATTCAGCAGTTTTCTGAATTGGATTCAGTTATAAGATTTGAGAATATTTTATGTTTAACGACAATGTCTATATTTGGGTCTATTTTTTATTGAAATGGACACTAAATATACAATTTATATTCTACTGAAGGGTAATACTTATAGTCCACTTACGAAATAACAGTAATAAAAGTAGTTTCAAGGATTGTGGAAAGCAACATTTTTTGTAAATATTGATTTGTGTTATTTAGTTATTTAGGTTTATATAGATACGAAATGTCTAAAAATATTTCTATTGCAATTGATATGTATTGGAATCTAATTAATAATTAGTGTATTAATTAACCGAAAAATTAATACAAAAGTCTTATTCACAAATGAATTCAACCTAAAAACTACTGAACAGTAAATCACATAACAATACAAATGTATTTGTTTTATAAATAGAACTAGTTTAGTTTATTTGAAGTAAATATCATATATTTGTATTACAATTATTACATCAGAATATTCTGCAAATTTATTCATTGACTTTATTACACAATGTGTTTAACAAATGAAGCGTTTAGTCAAATCAAGTGGTTTATTGAAAAACCTGATGATAGGGACACTAATTAATTCCTCACCACAAACACCACCAATGATATAAGCATTTAGTATAATTGAAAATTGTATTTTGCTAGAAAAAACAATTAACAATTCTAATAACATAGGAATACATAAATAGTAATATAAACTTAGAAAACAATTATTTCAATTTAATATTTATTAACATTGTTTTTATCGTGAAATATGTGACAAAAATAAATAAATAATAATTCATCCGAAAACTACACCAAAAATGACAGATCACTCGCAAAGAAAATCCACATTTGGATGCCATTATAGAGGGGGTGCGAGCCGTCAAGATAGAGGGCACCGAAGACTTTCACTCATCGCCACAATTCCGCCAAAACCCGATCCAACCGACCATTAGGTTGGAGAACCTGTTGCCCAATGACTTGACTCTATTCTTCAGGTACAAGGGCTCCCTGACCACCCCACCATGTTACGAGGCAGTCACATGGCTTGTATTTCATGACACCACTGACATTGGACTCAAACAGGTATTCAATCGTTGTTTCCTATTCTCTCGCATTGTATGGCAATTGTTATCAAACAGCAAATGAATTGATTAATACCTTAAAAACAATAGAAATATAACTCATGTTTGTAAAGGCCATTGAGAACAGCTATAAGTTATTAACATTAGTTTACCAAACACACTTGTTTTTACCCTGATAAAAATCATATTCTACATATACATTTGCTGTTTAGTGTGTGTCCTAAATATGTTTCAAATGATCCAGATCCAGAGCTTTCGGGAGTTAATGAACTCGGAGAAAGTGGTAATGAGTGACACATTCAGACAACTCCAGGCCCTCAACGAGAGGCGAGTGGAGGCGTCGCGACGGCTGAGCGATCCCATGACAGGCGCCGCAACACATGTCGATCGCAATCATCTCTTAACACATCTCTCGTTAATAGTCTCTAGTCTTCTCATTATTACCAAATATTAGACATCAAAACCACATTTCATATGAATATCACTTAATCCAGAGCTTAATATATAGATATATTTTACTGTTTAATGAAATTAAAGTGAGATTTAATTGATTACTGAGGGGTTACCGATGAAATTGAATGAAACGTGAAAACTTAATCATAACATATTTTTGAAGCATCTAGGAAATACTGTTTAGTAGATTTACAGCAAATTAGTTTTGTTTTTTGAAATGTTACTTAACGCTAAACATGAGTTTTATAGACATTAATATTTAATGTTCAATACGACTTTATATT